TATGTCCAAGGAGTACTAATATAGGACAAAAATAGATGGCTGCACACGTGAGGTACATTCCACTGGCTGCTTTTGAGTATGCCATGCAGAGCCTAACTGTGATGCCACGGGCTTGGCGAGGAATGAACTGTTTCAAAGTCTCTCCCCCTCCCCCTATGGAGTCCAGGCTCCACCTCTCGCCCTCTGCTACTTACCAGGACATCGGACGAGGTCCGCACGCTGAGGCTCAGGTACTCCACAGCCCTCTGCTGCAGTTCAGCGTCGGCGTTCCGCAGCTGGTTGTCGTTCTTCAGGACCTGCAGCGAGCGGCATCGAAAGACCACTTCAGTTACTTTGTGCACACTGAGTGTATAAGTGGGAGTTGAACCCACGACCTCCTGCCTACAAGTGTAGATGTACAACCACTTGAACACTGAGCTCCTCTTGGTCAGCCGACAGGTTCGAATCCAGTGAAGTAGCAGATACAACAATCAACGACTGGCTGCGTCCAATTGACTTGGCTAAGGCTGGAAATAACATAAACCCCTATGGAAGCCGCTACATTTTGTCTACAGCCTTCTAACATAGGTTTGTGTGTTGTTGCAAGTCGTAGCCAAGTCATTTGGACACTGCCACGTACTCTGTCAATGAGCTGCCAAGCAGGTAAAGGTGCTTTAGCAATATTTATAGGCTTAGCAAAAATAGGCAAAGTATTAGTCACCACCAGCACACAATGTACGATATTTTGGCTGGTAAACGGCTTCCACCCAACACGTTTATAGTGCTCACACATTTCTGCTCAAACCAGCTCCACGAACTGCGGTATCCCCAACTTGTGACAGGTTCTTGGTAAGCGTGAAATTGTCAGTTCAACACTGAAAGAACCAACTATGAGACACTTTTCTTTTAACCCCCGGAACACCTCTAAGTGAACAAGGCTTAATCCTGCCATATTTGTAGGGAACACCACCTCAAGAATGGCACAGCATCAACTCACATCCTGAATCGTCTGCTTGATCTCCGGGAACAGGTTGATGAACTTAACGTAGGTGGAGAGGAGGAGGCCTCGTGTGGGCGCGGAGCAGAGGTGGAACTTGGAATGGAGGAGGTGGAACTGCACCTGCGGGCTACGTGCACAAAGAGAAAAAAAACACAGAATCCGAAGACTGAAAAAGAAAAATGGCAAGATGGTGGCTGGCAGACTGGGAGTCTGAAGCTGTGTCCAAACCACTCGGCTGCGGCTTAACATTACCCACGAGTCTATGGTTATGGCTGCAGTCACATCCCATAGAGTTGTGCGCAGTTACCAGCCACAGCCAAATGACTCAGACGTGGCCTGCGACTCTTCAAGTCTTGGGATTGGTGGAGCTAGACCAGTCCGGATTTCGTTAAAACCAGCGGGCCTCTCACTTTGACAACTGTTGAATACTGTGACTTTGAGTAGGGTTTCAAACCCAGGGCCTGCGGATGATTAGGACTCGTCACAAGTAAGGATTTGAAATTCTCCGCCATTTAGGTCTTAGGATAGTAGACATGCTGGGACGTGTGACAAAGTAAAGCATTCTGACTTCCGCAACAGTTGGATTCTGTTACCCTAAGTAACGTCTCCAGCACACAAGCGCATGCAGGCAAGGCTCTTCTGGAAAGTCAACTCTTGGCAGCGAAAGAAAGACTGACAGCGAGACATCTTGGCTTTACCTTGATCGCGGGTCCCCAGCGATGAGGTTGCCAAACTCTCCTAGGATGTAGCCGCCAACCTTCACCATATTCTCGTGGCAGGCCGGGGCCTGAAGAGCCTGGGTGAAAGACAAGAAGAAACAACAAAATCCCCATAAAAAACAGGACCAGACTCACTCCTGCGTAATCTAGGCTGGTTCCGATACTATAATGAACATACTTGTTAACGACTGTGGCTAGTCATCATGTGCACCAATGGCAGAATCTAAGGCTGTAGCCACAAAACACCCCATTAAGTAGGGACTTCAGGCTAGGAGCCTCAATCATATTGAATGAAGAAAAAATATGGCTTCATATCATCCACGACTCCACACTACTTCCATATTTTCTTACAAAGTCAGGCTGGTTAAACTCTTTCACAGATGCACATGCAAGTACCTGGCAATTTCACTTTCAACTGTCAGATTTGATCAAGAGGTTTTGTTTTGTTTTTCGAGCAAGTTAAACAGGTAAGATCTGTTTCAATTTAGCCCTGAGGCGATTTCCTGGCCCGTATCTCAAAACAGAAAAACCGTTCACAGCAGTCACGGACCTACCTCAAACACCATCTTGGCGGCATAGCCCTGCACGTCCTCCCGGTTGATCACGATCTGGATCACACGATACCACACCTGGTGAGAGAACGAAAGCAAGGAAAGCTGGCTCCCGGGCTGATCACTTTCAAGCAGTAAAACTCAATAAAACTAGCATCTTAACCCACCTCTGCTGGCCTTCTTGAGGACCCCCCTTCAAAAAAATTCATCACTGTTTCAGCAGGGGGGTGACACAATTCTGCCTACTTCAACTTACAAGAAGCTTCAACGCCCATGTAATGTAACAGAGGCTCTTTCATCCTCACAATTCAACATCTGGGTGAGTTTAGAAATTGACGGCACAGTACAAATTTGTCTTCAGAACTCAACTATAACAAGCTTAAAAGGGCTTTTTTTCTGTTCATGCCAAGATACAAATTCTGAATTTAGATTGCATCATTCTGAGAAAACAGAGATAACGAGGGGAACCCTCAGCCCTGTGTTCACAGTGGCTAAACCCTTGTGCATGACAAACAGCGCATGTAGCCATTGTTTGTAGTCAACAGATAAAATCAAAGAAAGCATATTTTCCTTAGACATGTTAGAGGTGCTCTTTAATGTCACAGCTCTTGTTAGCGTCAGCAAAAAAAACTGTCGTCAACACTAACTTGCACATTTCCTAATTGCAAGGAAATTCGACGTAACTGTAAAACTTTACGCATTTTGGTACTCCATTCAATTCAGCAGTTTTGGCACACTCACCTCTTCGCTTACAAAGTCTCCAGCGATGCGGATCAGGTTCAGTATCGTGTCCACATACCACGTGTAGTCCACCGCAAACTTCTCAGCCAAGATAGCCACCTTCAACACCTGCGCAACGAACGCGATCAGAGGTCAACAGTCACATAAAAATTGGCAGCTCCACAGCAGGAAGAAAGTCACAATGGCAAGAAGAGCTTGCATGACGATTTAACTTCAATGGAGTTTGTGTAGTGTACCCAGAGATTACGCCACTGCTGGGAGGCACACAACCGACCTAGAGTTAGCAGAGGGTACCTCTGAGCTAGAGCAGTAGCCACTAACCTCCCAATGTATGCATGGCATGCCCGGTGCAAGCTTTTGCTTTTCAAGTTTTTGCCACCTCTTCTTGACTCGATATTCTTATTTGTTCTCTTTTTATATATCTTGTGTGATTTTGCCTATCGTGAAGAGGAAAGAAATGCTACAAATGTCAAATGATGTAAAATGTACAACTAAATGTAAAGCAATACTTCGCTAGATTTCTTCACCCTTTACAAGAACTTTTGCTGCAAATGCCAAAGGAATGTATTTGCAATATAGCTCTTGAGTAAACTGTGGGCACTAGTGAAGTATTTCACTGAAATACTCCACTGAGTAGTATTCATTATGAAGCCAAAAGAGCAAATCAAATATTCAATATGGGAGTTCCTTGCATGGGTAAGCAAGAGCGTACCATTTCCTCTCGGATGGAGTAGTCGGCCTTCTCCAGGTAGTCCAGCATCTCGCCCACGATCTCCTCCGTGTTGGTCCGGTCGCACATGGCATAGAGGAGGTCCACGGCTCGCTGGCGCACGCTGACGTCTCGCTCCGTCTGCACACATGAATCAAAGAGAAGGTGTCTTAGGGATCTCACATGTGCCAGATACAGATTTCTCCTGTGCAGATGCTGTTCAGATTCCCCTATTTAGGGGATCCGATTTCCCCTGGGCATTTTGCAAGTGGGACGTTCTCACAATGACATTATCTGCTGCACAGTGGGTCATCGGAAGTTTCTTTGTCAGAAAAAAATTGGCATTTCAAGCCCCAAGGAATGGTCGCTGGTCTGTTCAGTGCAGCAACCACTACAATACATGTGCCTGGGAAAATCTTTGTAGATTAATGGCAGGTGGAATGGATAACTCCTCTCACCGTCTCCAACATTCAGTACACGAGTGAAAAACAAAGACTAACAAAGGAGCAAAGAACTCCGTTCAAATATGCTACGACACTCTGTGACATAGGAAGACAGGAGATGACGAAGACAAAAAAAGAGAGGGTCACCTTCAATGCTGTTACAACTGTCTCTTGGTGCTTCTTGACGGCTTCCCTGGAGAACTCGGAGGAGGCCAGCAGACACATGCTCTCCAGGGCAAGATACCTGATGTCAACAAAAATCCAAAGCATCCTGACGTGAATCATCAGTCGCTGAGGTACCCATGCCAAACAGAAATGGTTAGCGAGTCATCTCAGCATGAGCTGAGAGGTTCAGAGGGACATGATCTTCATCCAAGGGCAAAACAGTCTATGGGTTGACTGACTTGCCACCATCGCTGACCAAAGTTCAGGGAAAATCGTGCCAATCATCCTCCGTGACAATGACAACAATGCAAAGAAAACTGATTCATATGTTGGGTAAATGTTACCTGAGCGAGAGGCAAGCCATTTTGGGGTGCCTGCAGAAAAGCCCCAATCATTTGATGCCGACGGACAATGAGATAATCTGCATACTGTTCAGTGATACGATCAGTTCCCAATTTGACACTTTGACAACAAGCTTTTTGCAAGTTTAAGTTGAATAAAATCTGGTACACTGAGTAATCTGATTGCACAAAAACATAACAATTTGAATTCCTCAGACTAAAGACGCTGTTGCAATACCTCGTAATTCGGGGTAAATTTTTGCATGGCGACCACCATCTCTGGAATGGACTGGTTCCTTTGTGCCCTTCTTATCCACTGACAACAGTGTATTGGTGCAAGGCTTCTCTTATGTAACTAAGCAAACGCTTGCCCCGAATCGCGAGGTATAGCAACAGTGTCTTTAGTCTGAGGAATTCAAATTGTTACGTTCACATGAATTTAAAGAATTCAGTGTACCAGATTTTATTCAAATTTAACACGCAAAAGGTTTATTCTATTTCAGATAGGATCCTTGGAGAGGCAGAAGTACATCACTACAACCGCATTATTTCCTTAGTTCTTTCCCCATTTGGCGGGGGTCTCTGCTCGTCTTGTCTCCCTTACCTCAGGTTGGTCTCCCTGTGCTGAAGGAACTGGCCCAGCTGGTTGCAGGCCCGCACCAGCAGGTTGGGCTCGCTGTCGTGGTGGATGATCAGGTTGATGGCCTCGAACAGCACGGCGTTCTTGGAGTTGGAATGTTGGACCTTCTTGGACTTGGGCGGCTCCTGTGTGGTAAGACGAGGACGTTAAAGCAAGGAAAATTTGAATGCAGAAAATGCAGGGCTAGGTTGGACCAGGTCAGCATGACTTAACTTTAACTCCCTAAGTCGTGTGTTAAAATCAAATTGAAAATCAGAGGATTTAACCCTCTTAGTGTTGAAGATGCATTTAAGGCCCAACCTAACATATGAGACACAAGTCACAGAACCACTTCAGAATAAAAGACCTTTAAATGAATCTGACATAAAAAAAGTAATAGGAACCATCAAGATTTTTATCCACACACTGTTCAGTTTTCATCAGGATGCTAGCCAGAGTGACAGACAGGAAAAAACATCTCACTTTTTTGTACTTTCCTACACGGAAAAATTACAGCAGGGCATTCAGAAATACACAGAGCTGAAATAAAAGGACAGAAAAAAATCTTTTCTTCCTGCTGCTTTTCCCCAAACCTGTGGATGACGAACAATTTTTTTTTCTTGCGACGGCCTTGTGATTTTTTTTTTCTTACGGGTGGGGGGAGGCGTGGCACAGACCCCGCCCCTCGTACCAACCTGCGCTTTGTTGAGGATGGTCTCCAGGCATTCGTTCAACCTGCCCCTGTTGGCCGGGTCATCCGGTGGCCCGTAGCACTGCAAGAGTCTCAGCAGTTTGACGGACAGCCACGGCGCCGGCACAAAGTAGTAGGTGTAGTCCTGCAGGTCTGTGTAGGACGATGTCACGATCTGCAGACGAATCCACCAGCCACAAGTCTCAGATACAACCAATTTAGAATCTGTTCTGTGGATATCGCCACAGTTATTGCATATTTTGGTGAAAATGCCGTCAATTTCATTTTCATACACTACAGACATATTTGATCCTCAAAGAAAACAGGAGATAGTTTCACGCAAAAGTTTGACTATAGTACAGATATTGACAATGGAGGAAACAAAAGGAAATGAGAAAACAATCTGAAATCCCGTTAGAACAGGAGACATATCATGGCTGACGATAGTCATTCCACTGCTTTGTTGAGCACAAACAGATTGATTTATTCGACCAATGATCGAATAAAAACAATCACAGGAATTTCTGAAGTTGGTTTAACAGAGAAATTCTCAATTTAAAAAGAGCACTGCAAAAAAACCAAGTTAACCAGACACTTTTCAAGGCAGAAGATTGCAGGGGGAGGGGGTGTGGAAGTGAAATCAAATCAAGTATCAAGAAATGGGGCTGTACCCATGACAGCAATAAAAGAGTGTGATTTACAGAGCGCGTAATAGCTAACACAGCATGAGTTCTGTTTGTGCCAACCTTTTTGCACGAAGTAAAACCGACAAAACAAAACCCGAGTGATTAACCTCTCTCCAAAAATCCATATTTTGACAAGCCAGACATCCAGAAAATCTGAAGAAAAAAAAAATCCTGAGACATCACCCCCGTTATTTTCCTTACCCTGCTGAGTCTGGACACGGCCAGCGAGACGCAGCCCTTGTAGTCCTCGGGATTGTCCAGGACAAGGTCGTGGATCAGACTCGTCGCGGCTGTCACTACACCCTGGACAGAAAGAAGCAAGAGAAATTTCACCTCAAGGTCCTCTTCTGATCTGATCTACTACCAAGTTACAGCTTTGGTTACTGTTTATCTCTAGACAACAATCCTGCCAAGAGCCTCTCCTAATCCTTCAAAATCCTTCGCCGTGCCAGAAAACAACAGATAGGATGAACTTAAAAAGCAGAAAGTGCTCAGATGTTATTGGTTTTTAGTGTGCCTTTTAAAACAGTCAGATTTCGTGTATAGAGAACGTCTTCCACCTCTGTTCTGGCAAATTTTGGAAAATGTCCGATGGCCAACCCACAGCGGTACGTTCGCTGTACTTTTAACTCGGGGGGAGGGGGGAGGGTTCATGGGCGACGGTAGTTGGGCTGCACAGGTACATGTACCATCCTCAATCCTTCAAAAACAAACTTCCAGGTGGAGTTTGAAGGATCTGGGAGCACAAGGATAAAATGTGCTTCTGTCGTTCAACAGAATTGGGTAATGCCTTGTCCCTGGCTAATTGAACGTGCCCTGGAACTACTGTTAAAACAAAAGTAGGCAAGATGGTGGATGAAGCTGTCGAAATTTTTCGAGTGTTTACCATTCCACAGGCCACCACAATAACTATCATACAACTGAAGAACAAGCACACGAGTTAAATTCTGTACATGGGTATGTATCACCCCTTTTGTCGCTGCATCTCTCACCATGTGTTGGTCGTTCAGCAAGTGTATAATTCTACTGTGGTACTCCCCACTGGGGATGCAGTGTGAGTCCGTTCTGTACAGCCGCAGCAAGCACAACGCGGCACTCTGCTTCACTTCGTCAATGGTGTCCCTGCAGAACAAGTGAGCAAATATTAAGCAGATACTTTGAAGCCAAAAGGTCATCCGTCCAGTGCTTACCCATCCCCCCCAAGAAAAATGCGACTTGATGTGGACTAAAAGTGATCAGAAAAGGAAAAACAAATTTTTTGTAGTGAAAAAAACAAATCAATAGCGGGACTACCGGTATTTGTAAGGATGGATTTTGTGCCAGGGAGATATCAATTAGTTTTGGATTCTTTTGCCGTTCCCGACATGTTTTACAACACTCTATACTCAGTGTTTGTCCCCTTGGAAATACTTAATTGTGGTACCTGCTGCTACATATGACTCGAATCAGCCAGCCAACACCAGCCAGCTCAGTGGTCAAGTGGTTAAGATGCCTGCACTAGTCATCAGGAAGTCATGGGTTCGATTCCCACCCGAGTACGCTTGTGGTATTTTCACAAGCCTTCAGGGGCAAACAGTGAGTATACAGTGTTATAAAACACATCGGGCAGTGCAAAAAAACCCAAAATAAATAGTGGGACTATCTCTCAGGTGAATACATGTACGCTACTTGTGATCAAGCATTTTACAATTGACTGGAGCTGAGACTGACATATCATCGAGTATCTACATGTAGCAAATAAGCTCACGTTTACAAAAAAATCGTAACTCTGACATTCTAATGAACTTGGTCCAACACAGAAACATTTGTTCATTTCAAACTAAATGCAAAAAGGAGAAACTTGTCAAAAGAGAAGATCTAACCCAGTATCCTGATGCTGGTGAGCTGACAATTTTCATTACCAAACATCAGGAGAAAACATGACATTTTCACTGGTGACTGTTTTTCCATGCTGAGCACATAATTTTGTGCTTAGCAGAAAGTTATCCACCCAGATACCAGGCGCACAGGCACCTCAAGCTCTAGCATCTCTGCCGTGGCCTACTGCCAATGATGGCATCAGCACACCTCAGCCTTTTTCGTGGCTTAAAGCAATACACACCGCTTTGCATATTAAAGAGAGATCTCATCCTGCTTAGCACTTTACTTCAACTTCTTAGCAAGGGCTACCTACTCAGACACCAGGAGCTTGGGCACGTCAGGCCCCAGAGTCTTGGCTGTGGCAGTGCCAATATTGGCATCAGCCAAACTCAACCGTTTACCTTCATGACTTAAATCAAATGAACTGCAGGGTCTTTTGGACCACTGATTTCATCCTACTTAGCACATTACTTCAACTGCTTAGCACGGGCTACCTACCCAGACACCAGGAGCTTGGGCACCTCGGGCCCCAGCGTCTCGGCCATGGCCTTGCTGCCGATGTTGGCGATGCAGTGCAACGCTAGGTTGATGTGGATGGGCGTGCGGCTCGACATGTCATTCTTGATGTTCTGGATGACCAGCTGCATCAGGTCCGAGTTCTCATTCACCAGAACCGAGATGAACAGGTAGCCCTGCCGAGGGGAGAAAATATTTGACGCTAAGCAAACCTATCCGTTCTGACTAGCAGGTAGCCATACCGGGGGGGGGGGAATTAGACAGTGAACAAACATATCCACTCGGACTAGCAGGTACCGGTACATGTAGCCCTGCTGAGGGAGAAACAACTCAACCATGTCAACTCTGACCAGACCTATCCGCTCTCACTAACAGGGAGGAAAAATTTCAGGGAGGAAAAAATTCAACTCTGAACTGAATTATCAGCACTGACTCTACTCCAAGGCCTGTTGGACACTGTTTACAAATTAGAACATTAGAAATAGTAAATTGCATGCATGTGTACTGATTCAGATCTGAAGATTGTGGCTGAATATCTGAATGAATGTTTATGACATCAAAAAGAAAACTAATTTTCGCGAATAGGGGTCAAGGCAGATCATGTACCTGAATTGCTGAATTACTGCACACATTACAAGGCTTTTTATAGATGCCATCACCACGCAAATCATCCTAATCAGCATCAATCAAAAAAATTGGTTTTTGAAAGGATATCAGATGATATGGGAAAAAGTCCAGATGTATTTTGTGGCTTTGTGGCAGTAGGGACAATGAGAAAAGGAAATGTGCCATAATTCACACATTACAGGCCTTTCAAACATGTGGTCTGTAATACATGCCCAATGTTTGGTTTGTTTGATGTGTAAAAAACAAGAAACAGCAAGTAATAGGCCTATTATTAGCATAATAAAGTTCTTTGAATGTGAAAGCAGGTGTTGTGTTCAAAGCCGTAACTCGGCATACATCTCAATACCAAGCAAGTTGCCAGGGTGGCGCACATGAAAGTACCATCACTGACATCATCAAATTGTCTCCACTTTTGCTTTTGCTTTTTAGCGAACAGCGAGCCAGGCTTAAACAAGCGAACCTTGCCGAAGCAATATCCAGCAAGTCAAAGTCGAATTAATGATATCAAGGGGTACAACTCTCTGTGATATATTTCATTCGGTCAAGACTGGCTATTAGGATCCTCGGGTGAGATTGCGGGAGGGGGGGGAGGAGAACTTTCAAGGGCTTTCGGTTCATGTACACAAGTGGCTGCCCTGGAGAGAGTCAGCTCCAAAATGGCTAAATTTATGTAAATCTTGCACTTTAACTTTTTATAGAAAGTGCAAATAAAAAGCAAAAACCGAAATGAATGAAACTCTAAAATTTACAATTTTCAGGTTGCTGATCTAACGTCCACAAAAACCTTAAGATTTGTATTGAAGATACATACAGAGCTCATGTTCTATGTGTGTAATCAACCCTGCCTTCATGTACATGCATTAAACAAAAGCAATGGCAATTATTTCATCAATCTGTGATGCCCTGTTACTTTGCATTTTCTGATATTGACGCTGAAAACAAGTTCACGGCAGGAAAACTCACGATCTGCTTCTCTGTGTACTTGTTGGAGCTGAGCAGGTTGACAGCCTCCATGTGGCCAAAGTCAATGTCGTGGCCCAGCAGAAAGATGAAGAGCAGCTTACACACGTACTTCTTCTTCTGGTAGCCATCCAGGGTTTTATCGCCTGAGAGGGTGGGCGGGGAGAGGGGGAGGGAAGAGATAGGAAAACGGACAGATGTCACCAAAAGGCAAAAACCAGGCTTGTTCCAAACGCACCGCGGCTGTTTTGTTATCAGGTTATATCCAACTTTGTCTCCGTCTTTTTTTGGTGCCGCCCTGCTTTGAAGTTGGCTAACAGTAGGTCCAACAGTGCCAATGGAACATCAAATATGATGCAAAAGAACAAATGTTATTGTACTTTCATTTAATCTGAATGCTTTGGGCCTTGGAGACGAAGCCCGAGATGGAGTTGAAATCAAGAAAAGCAAAAGGGACAAAATTAAACAGTTCTGTATAATACCAGTAGCAACCATTCAGGACCACGATGGCCCAACACAAGTCCTCCAGTCTTAGCCTGTACAATATGATGATATTTCACAATATTTCAATACGATGCTGATATCGGATATCGTATCATTCGTAAAAACACATATCGGGATATCGTGTAAATCCATATGCCGAAAATTACCCCGATAAGCTCCAACTGATGTACTGTACATGCACATAGGGAAGTCAATGCACCTCATGTTGAGCCCTGCATTACTGCATTTAGGCCACACAAATACTTCATTGAAAACCTCAAACCACAAAGTCACTGTTAGCCCCACCAGCTGTAGGGGTCTTACAAGTATTCAGGGGGCAGAATCAAACCAACTGACTGTATGCACGTGCGATGTATTGTACAGTAAACTCCAGCTAAGTCAGCTCTCTCAATAGGGACTCGAGATCGTCATCATACGGCGCCCGCGCGCCACACACGTACACGGCCGTTTTCCAGTACTCAACTTCATCTCTGTCTCAGGCTTCATCTCCGAAACCAACTCCTGATTGTGGGCCTGAAGCATTTCAATTAAGTTGGAGAACTGTCATGTTTGGCTCTTTTGCATCTTACTTGATGTTCTGTGCCACTATCAAATGCTACTGCGCTTGCAACTTAAAAGACAGGTTAGTAAAAAAAAACAGCTGAAGCCTGAACGGAGACGAAGTAGAGTATAGGAAAACGGCCTACATGTTAAGTTCGTTCAATATGGCGACCCAAAAAATGGGCAGAACGCATGCGTGTATCCCGAGAGGGGTCCCTGGTATTGATGTATTCAACCACGTGCATGCATCAGTCGAGCAATGTGGGGCTTGTCACTTGATGCTTCTAGGCAACCGAAGGAAACCAATACTGAAGTAGGATATTTTTATTGCAGACTTAAAAGAAGGATTTTTTGTGGTCTTGTAGAAAAGGGACCAAGTGAAACATGCCGACTTATGAGAAATAAATGAAGACTTAGAAATGAGGTGAGGGCATCAAAACCAAGAGTCCCTCTAGTAACACGCATGTGCTCTGTCCATTTTGGGGGTTGCCTTATTGAGTGAACTTTACCACTAATGTGTGCGGGGAAATGGCTTTTTTCCGTACGGTGCCATGATATGATACATGATGTCCACAATTTCCATGTTGAAATTTGCTTTCCATCAGCATATAAGAGTTCTTGATGTAGAGATAATACATAGGCCTGTACATCTTTTTTGCTTTTTGTTTTTTAGCGTGGCTCTCGAGACATAGTGGTGATTTCGGTTGTGTTAATTTTATGAATGGAAAATGACGTCATCACGATCATATCGGATATCGCGATATTTTTTCCACGATATCGCAATATGAAAAGAACTGAATATCAAACAGGCTAACTCCAGTCACAAGCTATTCATATCACTGCGACAAAAGCATTCCTTTGCCATTGCTCAACCTGTTACAGGTGACTGGTCTGGTAAGTGGTCTCACGCATGGTCTTGGATACAACAGTGTCTAAACACGGTATACGTATACATGTACATATACCTATATGTACTAGTACATGTACAAGTACATACAGGAATCCCACATGCTTCAGCATGTTTGACAGTTACTAGCAATGACTGGTGCATACATATACATGTACATACCGGTACATAACTGTAGAAGCCAACTCGAATGCCAGCAGCTGCGGCTACACCTACATGTACATGTACTTCTCACAGACACTTCTTTAACTGTCAGCCACAGCCAGCTGGATCAGTCAGTATCGATTCAACAGGCTTTCGGACCTGACCATCACCGATTGAAATGAAAATTGGTGGACTGATTGGACTCCTTGAGAAACCCCCCCCCCAACTGAAATTTGGTGTCAATCGGTCAATTACTTTTTGAGACACAGGTTAAGGAACTTTTGACTAATTTGTTTGGACAGCCATACATGTGTACAACAGCCAGCCAAGGAATCCAATCAGCAAACCAATTTTCTTTTCTATCCGTGAGAGTCAGGTCCAACAGCGTGCTGAATGGACAGGGAATGACCCAGCTGATTTGGACACAGACTCAGGGGCACGATTTCCTCTTGGCCACGATCCATCTGGGACACTGCCCACTTCCAACATACCAGTAACATCCAGGCAGGAACGAGCTCTCATCTCAGCTTGTCTTTGCTTAGAGCAAACAATTCAGCACACACAGAAATGTTGAGCAACTTTGAGTTATTTCATACGCCCCTAATTGCAGAGTGAAATTTCAAACGGGTGACAGGAGAGAGAGTTAAAGATTCTTAAAATCAACAGAACAGAAAGAATCCACGGTTGAGGCATTGGACAAAACTGCACAAGCTTGCACATGTACATGTATTAACCCCAATCTTCCCTAACCACACAGAATTCAACACCAGTAAAGTGTTTGAGTTTGTGGCATTGGGTACTGGTAGCTTACTATCCGGTGTTTAATTTTGTGTGAATGGGTACTGTGGGCCTGTACATACCCTGTTGAATTTGGACTGAATGGGTACTGTGGGCCTGTACATACCCTGTTGAATTTGGACTGAATGGGTACTGTGGGCCT